ACCAACATTTTAATAGCCATTTAACGAACAAGTTTGTTAATAAAGGCGATTAATAATCGAGATATTCTCGTTTCTCGCGCGTTTGTCGAGATTATTAATCGCCAATTAACAGTTGAGTTAGTTAAGATACTTTTCCAACGATCGTAATTTTGCTGAATTACTGAAAATTCAAAACATGAGTTATGCAACCAAACATACAAGTGAAAATTTGTATTAATAAACATTATTGGTTTATTAAATTTGGATGTGTCTGAATCATGATGGATGCTTTAAATGGACCGAAGCATAGAAGACTTTGGTCACCAGCTTGCTATTAAGCCTTTTTGGGAAATTTCACGAAGTATGCAAGTAATACGGATTCCGAATACCTTACAATAAATCTTCATCTTGAATCTTGATTTAGGAAATTTTTGACATTAGAAATATGCAACGTCAGGTAGGGAGGTGTATATTAGATTGCCTGGAATCATGCATTAATAGCCCTTATTAATACTAAAATTTAGTACCTGGTAAAGTAAGTCTGATTTTGGGAAATAACCAACTCTCCAAGAAAATAAAGGGTGGGGCGGGTGGACGGGGCTACTACATTCTAAGATAAGACTGATTTTGACAAATCACGATAGTGATTAGACTTTTCCGATTTTTCAAATATTCAATTTTTCGTTTTTTTTTCAGTTTTTTGTTTGTTCAATTTTTTGGGGTCTTGACTTATAATTTTTAAATATTTTTTTTAGATTTTTCAGTTTCTCTATTTTTCGATTTTTTGGTTTTTGAATTCTTGGTTTCTTCTCAATAATTAGATTTTTGAAGTTTTAAATTTTTCCAATTTTTTTCAAAGATTCAAAATTAAATTACATACCTTCTAAGAAAATAAAAGATAGAGGGTACAGCATTTGGCAAAATCAGTCTTATCTTGGCGAGTACTAGGCCCGCCCACCCGCCCTTTATTTTCTTAGAGACTAGGTGATTTGCCAAAATCAGTCTTATTTTGACAGGTACTAGCCCCGCCCACCCGCCCTTTATTTTCTTAGAAGCTATGTTATTTGCCAAAATCAGTCTTATCTTGGCAAGCACGTTTTCCAGAATCGCCCATACGGGAACTTGTAAAATTAAAAAAAATGACATTTAACCAAAATAATTCTTGTTCACGCTATATTTTTCGAATCGCGATCTTTATGTCATAGTTTTTTGGCGATTTTTGTGCAACTTTTCCAAAACTTCAATCTGTCTTAACCATTTTCGATAATTCCCTAGAGATTTTTTTTTGGATTTCCATCTTCTAGAAATTATTTTTGACTTTACTTCTTCGAAAAGTCCAACCGTTTTTTCAAAAGCACTAAAAAATAAAAAAAAATGGAATACATCTAAAAATTTGATCTTCAAATCGAATATTTTGTATATGTTTTTCGATTCAGTTCCTCATGATCTATACAACTCACGAATATTTTGACCCTTTTCTGAGTACCTCCAAAAATTACCTAAAGTGTTTATTTTCTCGGATGTTTTTTCTGTTTCATTTATTAGAAAATTCCGCCCGTTTTTCTAAAATCCCGAAAATTGAAATATGTATGGCAATTTTTGGGAAATTTTGAAAATGTAACTTAATTTTCGGCTTCATTCTTCCGGAAATTCATACATTTTTTCCAGAATTGCTCATACGAAATAGGTAATAGGTCAATTTTTACAATTAAAAAAATGACATTCAAAGAAAATACTTCAAAAATCTTAGTCCGGGGCCATAAACACGCGCTATTTTTTTTTTTTTGAGCAGCTCGTTGAAATTTTGATCTAATAAATTTTTGTCGATTTTTCCCAAACTTCATTTTTTACGAAATTTTAGACCTTTTGCCTTTTTTCGAAAATTACCCAGAGATTTTTTTTATAGATTCCCAACTTCAAGAAATTGTTGTAGACTTTATTTCTTTGAAAGTTACAATCGCTTTTCCAGAAGCGCAAAAATAAGAAAAAATAAATTTTTGGAATACGTTATTAAAAATTTAATTTTGAAAATCTTGGTCCGAGACCATCAACACGCTATATTTTTCGATTTCGTTTCTCATTATCTATATTTCTTTTAGACAACTTTCCCAAAAGATCAATTTTTCAACAGGATTTTGCAATTAAGCTCCGCCCCCTAGGCTCACGACCAATAAAAAAAATCATCACAATGAGATAGGGCGGGTGGGTGGGGCTTCTTCTTTTGGTTTTCTTTGTATAACACGATTACTTAAGAACATATTTTACATGGTAATTTCTCGTAGAACAATAAGGATTTAATTAAGCTCCGTCCCTCGGCTCAACCAATAAAAAAAATCATCACAATTGAGATAGGGTGGGTGGGCGGGGCTTATATTTTGCCTTTGTTCTTTCTGAATATACATAGCCATTTTTTCACAACACGAAACTTAAAACCTGGTTAAAATGATATATTCTTCCAAAGAAATATGGATTTTGCAATTATGGGGCGGAGCCTAATTGCAAAATAGATATTTCCTTATACAAATTTTCCATTTTAAACATGTTTTAAGTTTCTTGTTACGAACAAAGTCTACACCATATTAAAACAAAAAAGCAAAATGTAAGCCCGCCCACCCGCCCTATCTCTATTGTGATTATTTTTTTTATTCGCCGAGAACCAAGAGGGCGGAGCTTAACTGCAAAATACTTATTTGTTTACAAGAAATGAAAAGCATGATTTTGAGTATCATGACTTTCAAAGAATACTATGTATATTAAGAAAAATAAGGAAAATATAAACCCCGCCCACCCACCCCATTTCAATTCTGGTGATTTTTTTTATTCTTAGAAACTTAATTGGGAGGAAATGTGGATTTTGCAATTAGGCTCCGCTCCTAGGTCTGCCAACGAATGAAAACTTCATTACTATTTAGATCAGGGCAGGTATGGGTGGGGCTTAATCTATAGCTTTAATTGTTTCTTAATGTAGATAGTATTCTTTGAATAACACGATACTCAAAAACATGGTAATTTCTTGTAGAGAAATAATAAGGATTTTGCAATTAAATTCCGCTCTTTTGGCTCTCGACGATTAAAAAAAAATTATCACAATTAAGATGGGGCGGGTGGGCGGGGCTTATTTATATTTTGCCTTTTTTCTTAATAGACGCCGTCGTCTTTTCACAACAAGAAACTTAAAATATGTTTAAAATGGTAAATTTGTGTAGGGAAATATCGATTTTGCAATTACGCTCCGCCCCTCAGTCTGACCACGAATGGAAAATTTATCAGGATTGAGATCGAGACGGATGGGTGGGGCTTCTCTTTTGGTTTTCTTTTTTAATTAATACATTTATTAGCTTTCTTTGTATAAACACAATTACTTAAGAACATATTTCACATGGTAAATCTAATTAAGCTCCGCCCCTCGGCTCACGACCAATAAAAAAATCATCACAATTGAGACAGGGTGGGTGGGTGGGGCTTATATTTTATCTTTATTGTTCTTAATATACATAGCCATCTTTTCGCAACAAGAAACTTAAAACCTGGTTAAAAAAGTACATTTTTGCAAGGAAATTAGGAATACATATATTAAGAAAAAAAAAAAGGCAAAATATAAACATTTTGATTCTTTTCTGATTATCTTCGGATGTTTTTTCTCTGTTTCATTTCTTAGAAAATTCCAAAAATCGTTTTTCTAGAATCCTCGAAATGACATGTAGCAATTTTTGGGAAATTTAAAAATATACGCCAGAATTTTCTATGAATTCTTAGACAACTTTCTCCTCCCTATAAAAATTTTAACCATTGTTCCAGCATATTCGAAAACTACCCAGACTTTCTTTTGTTGATTTCGAGATCCGGGTGTATTTTTTCAGTTTTATTTCTTCCAAAATTCCAACCGTTTTTTCAAAAACAGTTTATTGTGAAGCCAAATATTTCGAAAATTTTACTATGTTTTTCGAATCAGCATGTCGAGATCTACATCCCAGAATTTCTAGTGGAATTTCCTGTAAAGTGATACGAAATTACTTGAGGACTCCTCCATATTAACTTACGGAAATGAATGAACCAGCTCCTGGTAAATTTCCAGCCGACGAAACCACCCCGAAAAACAGCATTGTTCAGATTTCGAAGGTCCAACACCCTTTTTATTTTTTCATATTAATCTCCCGAATCTCCTATAAATTCCTCTATTTCCCCCAAAAAGAGTAATGTGCGTGGGATCCGACTATTACACAGCATTATTCCAGTACGCCCCCAGTTGGCCACAGCTTCTTAAAAATTAATGATGCGAGACCGATATTTTTCGGCGCCTTTAGCCAAGACGCTGTTTTGTAAATAACGATACACAATATGCAGAAATTCGACCTCGCCCTAATTTTTTTGTAAGCAACAACTGATCTACTTGGCTTCTTTTCTCTTTGCAACTTGTTACGCACCGTAATCGTGCTCCATTTCAACGTGGGTCCCGGATTTCTGCGAACGCTAATAGTTGTAACGCTCCTCCATTTAAAGATGACAGAATAAGGCGCATTTTTGACTTCAAATTTCACGCGAGCTGAATTTCTTCGAAAGACCTTATCAACAATTTAAGACACTGTAGTTTAGTGCCTCATGCTTCCCTTATATTTTCGTGACATTTCGTAGAACAAGACCTCCAACTTAGGTATTCAAATAATTTATCTTGATTATTTCTTGAAAACTCGCCGTCTCCGCCGCCGCAAACTTGACCCACTTCGAACGTGTTGCTTTTGTACTTAAGTCAACAGATTGTCCCTCCTATTATTGCGAAGTATCACTCCTCCCTGGAAGTCGCGCCGCTCCGTCGCCCCTTCCCATTTTTAGCCACCCTAGGTGCTCCAACCCAACCACTAGGTCCCTCTTGGGCGCCGACTTTCCATTCCTGCGGCCATAAAGCCGTTGTCCTTGGATTTTTGGTATCGCGTCTTCTTTGCCGAAATCGCGCACACCGCCGCCGAATTACGCCAATAAAACGAAATCACCATAAAGACATAAAATTTATTTTGTGCTTCCAGAATGCCCCCCCGCCGCCGACGGCATGGAGCGGTTCGCATGCCCCACCCCCGACAGGCAGGGCCGCTACCACTGCATAGACGACCACGTCCTTTGCGACGGTTTTATAGACTGTCCCTCCGGGGAAGACGAAGACCGGCAGGCCTGCATGTTCTACAAAACGGTACGTAGGCAATAATTCATCCCGAGGAAATTATTTAGCAGTGGACGTGTTTTGGAAATTTTTTATTATGGTGTGAGGATTTTTCCGACTCTCTCGTTGTTTGATCGAGCGATTATTTAATCGAGACGCTTGGAGAAGTTCTTTCCGAAACGGCTACCTCGTAAGTCATATTTGTCACAACTGTGAGATACTATTTATGTGCTGTCGGAGGAGTTTTACTGCTGGGACACTTCAATCCTTCGAGATAAGATATTTTTATACGAGTTTATCGATTTTTACGGGTCTTTTATTCATAAGTTTGCGCTCGAGTTTATCACTTTATTTAAGACGTTTTAAGAGAATGCAATCAACTAAGTTTTGCGAGATTTTGTTATTTGATTGGACGTGCGACGACGCCAGATTTTAGTTTAGGTCGTTGTAGCTGAAGCGATAAAATTCGTTCGATTATTTTCTTACTATTTAATTACAAAATTTACGGGAGGACGTCGCACTGTGACGAATTTTCTTAAGATTTTTCACCCAGAGCAAAAAAAGGAGGTATAAAAGTAAACAACAAAACATCTTTATGGTTTAATATTCAAATGTTAAGTTTTATAGTCACATCGCAAAACAGAAAAGATGGATATTTTACGATTTATATCATCCGTGCCTCTAAAAAATGCACGTCAGAGTTTAGAGTTCGCATAAATTAAAGTACGGGAAAAAGAAGATTCTATCATATTCTTAAAAAAGCCCCTCAGACTCTTTCAAAAACAAAAAATGAGAAGTCTCCAAGATCTTTTCAAATTATTTTAAAAACAAAGCACAAGGACTCATCAAGATTTTTTGACAAAAAAAAAACACACCAGAGGCTCTCAAGGTCCTTTCACATTCTTAAAAACAAAGCACAATGAGTCCACAAGGTTTTTCAGAATCTTAAAGAAATGAAACACAAAAGGCCCCAAGTTTCTTAAAAAAAAAAACTGAGGTCTCCCAATATTGTTTCAAATTCTTTCAGAAAGACACCAAGGGCTCCCAGGACTCTTCCACATTCTTTAAAAAACATCCTGGAGGCTCCAAAAACTGCTTCATTTTTTTTGGAAAAAAGACAGTGCGATCTCCCTAAATTGTTTCACATTCTTTAAAATAAGACATCATGACCCACCAAGATTCTATTACATTCTTAAAAAACGATACTCTTTCAAACTTTTCAAACAAAACATCATCAAAGCTCCAATATTTTTAATATACTTTGAAAGAGACACTTAGAGACCCGAAGACAAATTTTGCACTATCTGACGAGTTTCCTGCGAGCAAAAAAGTGAGTTATAAACGTAAATAACAAAACATCTTTATGGTTTAATATTCAAATGTTAAGTTTTATAGTCACATCGCAAAACAGAAAAGATGGATATTTTACGATTTATATCATCCGTGCCTCTAAAAAATGCACGTCAGAGTTTAGAGTTCGCATAAATTAAAGTACGGGAAAAAGAAGATTCATCATATTCTTAAAAAAGCCCCTCAGACTCTTTCAAAAACAAAAAATGAGAAGTCTCCAAGATCTTTTCAAATTATTTTAAAAACAAAGCACGAGGACTCATCAAGATTTTTTGACAAAAAAACACACCAGAGGCTCTCAAGGTCCTTTCACATTCTTAAAAACAAAGCACAATGAGTCCCCAAGGTTTTTCAGAATCTTAAAGAAATGAAACACAAAAGGCCCCAAGTTTCTTAAAAAAAAACGCTGAGGTCTCCCAATATTGTTTCAAGTTCTTTCAGAAAGACACTAAGGGCTTCCAGGACTCTTTCACATTCTTTAAAAAACATCCTGGAGGCTCCAAAAACTGCTTCACATTTTTTGAAAAAAAGACACTTTGAAAGAGACACTTAGAGACCCGAAGACGAATTTTGCACTATCTGACGAATTTCCTGCGAGCAAAAAAGTGAGTTATAAACGTAAATAACAAAACATCTTTATGGTTTAATATTCAAATGTTAAGTTTTATAGTCACATCGCAAAACAGAAAGGATGGATATTTTTACGATTTATGTCATCCGTGCCTGTAAAAAATACACGTCTGAGTTTATCGTTCGCATAAATTAAATTACGTTATTAATTCAAAAGGAAACTTATTTTGCTAGGCGACCCAACAACAGACTTCTTCGAAGTCGCGAAACTTATTTTTCTCGGGAGCTACACTCCGATTCAATTGTAAAGTGTGAAGAAAGTCACAAATAAACCCTTCTTGAATCCTAGAAATAAATTAAATAAAGTTTCCATCATAAATCTTTTCCAATTTGATCGAATCTCGCTAAATGTACGAATTCTGTTTCTGAATTTCGCTAATAACAAACTTTCGGGTGAACTTCTCCGTTATGGCTTGCCGTCTACATTTCTCTAATTGTGGCGTTTGTGATGTCCTCTCTAATAGTCCCGACGGTGGTAGGTTAATAACACCAATACATATTTATTATCAATTTATTTACCCATATTACCACTACAAACCCAGACTTAACACTCTCTTGTTTTAGCTATCACTTACACTTTTATACACTATTGATGACCTAGTTCCTTGCAATGGACAAGCATTTGCTGACTAACGAATTGACACTTACTCATTCCATTACACCTCCCCCGGTCGGGAGAAAAATTTTTTTTTCGTGTTCTCACGTTCCAAAAAAAAATTTTTCCTTACATTATTCATGATACTTCTTAACTCTATTCTTATGTACTTCTATTAATTTATTACCTATATTAATTACAACATTTGGTGCCTTGTCTACAACTACAGTATATGGTCCTTTATACACTGGCTCACTCTTATTTCCTACATTGTTTCGTAACATAATTTTCGAACCAGTTGGATATCTTACAATTTTCGAAATTTGACTATCGTACAATTTTTTCCTTTTTTCTTTTGACAAAAGTAATTTGTTTCTAGCGTCATTACATGCGGTCTGAAGTCTATATTTTAACTCTAATGGATAATCGTCGAAACTATACAGAGGATCCGTCCGAGTAAGCACATTCGATGGCAGTCGACACGTTTGTCCAAATACTAACTCGAACGGTGTGTACCGTGTTTCGCTATGCACGCTATTGTTGTACGAAAAACACCAGAATGAAACCCATGAACTCCAACTATTTGGATGTTTTGCCACTTGTATTCTTAGATACGCACCTAAGTGTTTGTGGGAATTTTCTAACGCACCTAACGTTTCGTGGTGATACGCTGTCGAATTCAATTGTTTTATTCCTAATACTTTACAAGCCTCTTTGAAAGTTGACGATAAGAATTCTGTACCTTGATCTGTAACAATTTCTTGTGGAATACCATACCTTAAAATAAAATTTTGAACGAATGATTCTGCTACGGTAACGGCTTCTTTATTTGGTATTGGATACGCTTCAACAAACTTACTCAATTCACACTGTATTGTTAATATGTACCGATTATTTTGAACGTCTTGCTCTAAAGGTCCTACTATATCTAAAAAGATTTTTTGAAATGCCGAATAGGCTGTTGTTGTAATCGCCATTGGTTCTAAATTGTGTTTCCCATGCTTATACCTCTGACAAGAATCGCATTTCTTTACAAATTCCTCAACGTCTTTCCGTAATTTTGTCCAAAAAAAATACTTCCTTACATTGTTATACATTCGGTTTATACCGGCGTGACCTCCTGTAGGCAATATATGAAAGTCGTTAAGAATTATTTGTCTCGCTTCTAAGTCATCTATTCTTTGAACGTCTTTCATTACGCTTATTTTTAAATCTCTGAACCTTACTTCGTTAACTCTAGTCATTATTTCACGCAGAAATGATGATGATGCATCTCTTTTATTTTTAATTACTACTAGTTCCGGAATCTTATATTTCATAACAATATCTTTGAGTACTCTCAACGTCTCACTTAGTGCTGACGCCGATCGAATATCCCATTTCATATAAATAACATCTGATTCATTGTCGACAATTAAATTATGACTTTTATAAATAGAACACGTGTTGGACATTTTTGTTTTACTTGCAAGTATTTTGTCAAATTCGGTTTTATAAATAGGACGCAACTCGAAAAAATTTTCAGGTTGTTTTATCAATTCCACCACGCCAGGGTGATCAGTCCTTTCGGATGAAACTGATTCACTGTTCTCGCAGGTCTTACTTTCAGCTTTACTTTGCGCTCTTGTTAATACATTCATTGTACAAAAAACTCGGTGACTCATTGATTTGATTTCACTAGAACTAATTTCTATTCTTGATAAGGCATCCGCTGTTACATTATCTTTACCTTTTATATATACAACATCAAAATCGTACTCTTCCAAAATTAACCTAAATTTCGTCAACCTACTGGAAGGATTTGTCATTCCGAAAAGATATACTAAGGGTCTGTGATCTGTCTGAATAATGAATTTTCTCCCGTACAAATACGGTCGAAAGTATTTAACACCCCAAACTATTGCCAAAAGTTCTTTCTCAATGGTACAGTAATTTTTTTCTCCTTTATTGAGCGTTCTACTGGCATATGCTACAGGTTTGTCACTTGCATTTGTTAATACTGCACCTATCGCTGAACCCGATGCGTCTGTTTTTAAATTAAAAATATTTTCCTTTGAAAAATTTGGATATTCTAAAATTGGTGGGGTCATCAAACTGTTTTTTAATGTTTCAAAAGCTTTCTGACAGTCATCGTTCCATTCGAACTTTACACCTTTCTTTGGTAACCTATTTAACGGAACTGCTATGTATGCAAAATTTTTTATGTATCGTCGATAATAATTCGCAAAAGCTACAAATCTTTTCGTTTCTTTCGCATCCTTTGGCACCGGATAATTTTGAATAACACGAATTTTTTCGGGATCCGGGGAAATTCCGGTTGCTGAGATTACATGACCTAAGTATAAAATTTCTTTCTTTAGGAATTCGCATTTATTTGGATTAATCCGTAATTTTACTTGTCTTAATCTTCCCAAAACTTTAACTAGATTTTTATTATGATTTAGTAGGTTGTTCC